TTAGGAAAAAGTGCTCCCAGATTAAAACAAACAGCAAGGATCAATGCTCATAGCAAGGCAACCGGCTGGCTCCTTGGAAAGCTGCTTTTTTATGATTTATGTGTGTACATTTCTAGACTCTTTTAGAAACACACAAACAACAGCAGGCTCTCAGCTGTGCCCTCACTGTTGCAGCATTTCTCAGAAAGCTACATTTAGCTTGTCACACATGACCAGTTCATGGGGAAGCTGCTTCTGTCCCACCTCCAAGCTACTGAGTCGTTACGAAGAGAGAAGTTTCACAGCACAAACAGCTGCAAGACACTTCACAGGACAAAAAGAGACAGATCTCTGAAACACTGGAGAGGAGTAATTATGAATTACTAAAACCTCTTGTCTCCCATAATGTCCCATAAAGGCCTGAGTCTCCATACATTCAGATTTAATTCAACATCTTCATAGTAAAGTTGCACTATGTGCAGCAAGATAAACAAGTTTCTTACAAACTTTAGATTCTGCACTTTGTCACAGGAACATTTATCATTCTTCATCAGATACACTAAACCTTGATGAAACTCTACAAGTGACCGTGGTGTGAGAAGGATGAGAGAACATTTGCAGAATTACTATGCACTGTGGAACCTTCTGCCCAAGATTTTTTTCTGCTGATACAGGTCTTGACAATTACTGAAAGAGGGGAATCCCTGACAGACTTTACTGTCCACCTCTGCTGGAAGATGAGCAGTTACTATAGAGAGTAGTGATCAAAAGTAGTGACCAACAAGCATCAAAACAGGCTAAGAACTCTTCAACACTCATTCTTACAGTAAAACTCCAAACAAAAACCTGGAAAAATGGAAGTGATTTTGTACAAATCAAATACGTACACAGATATGTCATACTTCGATTTGTCTACTTGCTAAACATAGACACTTGGACAATCAAGTAAGGAAAGAGCAAAATTATCCAGCAGCAGCTACAGCTGCATGTATGAATAAATGAAAATGTAACTCATTGCTTTTCCTTTTTTAACTTGCACTCCAGAAGCGGGACACATAAAATGCATCAAAGAATGACTTATGTTACAAATAGATGGGTTTTTTGCTCTTCCATATTCATCTCAGATATAGAAAAATTTTCTCTAAGAACCTACTGGATTCAAATATTTAAGACTCCAGTTATGGCAGCCAAGATAACTATTTTCAGCACAACTAGTAATTCAGACCTGGCACTCACCTGTACTTCAGACGCTATCAAACAATACTACTAAGTATTTTGGGAAGCATCAATGACTTATATAACTGATTACAAGTTAGTTGCCAAATAAATTTCCACTTTAACATTTGCAAAGTGCCAAATGCCTCAGGCCTTAACCTGGGCAGGCCACTCCTTTGTCAAAGGTGAAACAGAGAGTAAATCAGATATTTAAAGGAATGAAGGATGCCTCATGACTCCTTCTTCTGTAAAGACATAAATACAAACCAAGATAACAGAGAACTGTCGTAGAGCCACCCTTGATCTTGAACACTGCACAGCAGTCAGCAGTGACTACTGACATACAGTGAAGAGTCCAGATGTGTTGAGATATTTACCTTTTGGAAAACCATCAAAGTCTTAGAACAGAAAACATGACCATCACCACCAGAATTGCTCCTCACCATGATCAGGACTTACCATGTCCAAACACCCATGCTTCTCAAAGTATACAAAATAATTGCTTTTGGAAGGGCTCTCTAAGCATACCAAACGGGCTCGACCTGGAATCCCTTTAAAAGTTTTGCGAACAACTCACCAGCTACCTGGACCTGTCTGGAGACCTTGTGATTCCGACAGACTTCACTACACTGGGGACCAAGCCAATCAGCTTTCTTAGCAATGGCATCAGTCAAGTCAGTGTTTTCAGTGGCTTCCTTGCACTCACATCAAGCAGGGGCAGATCTGATGGGGGCTCCACTCTCTGCCCAACGAAGGAGTGAACAAGTTTTCTCTTAGTGAAAACATTCCCTCTCCTATTTTTCAAGACAGGAAAGAACTGGTAACAATTCAAATAAATCAAAGCCATATATGAATCAAACTCTTTTGCTGTAGCACCTAAATAAGAAGGCACTTCACATCTAAACCAAGATACCGGTTCAAGCACATTCAAAAATTGCTGAGCAAAAAACAAGATGTGCACAGGAGCAAGCATCCAGCAACCAAAACAGACAAAGGAGGAGACTATTTAGTCTCCAGAGCATATTACACCTGGGGCAAAGAAACAAGGAGGGATGTTTACTTATCATGGGTTCACATCTGGAATAGAAACCAGATTGGAAGGACATGAGGGTAGGCTGCACATCAAGTCACACAGTGTGAGTCTTGGCAAGGATTAGCAAATAGCGTGCACAAGTATAACAGAGCACGGTAGTTTTGAAGGATGAAGAAAAACGCTAAAAAGCACTGAGCTAACAGTGAACATAACTGTTTTATTTTGGGGTTTTAATATTTTTGTTTGCTTTTTTGGGGTTTCGTTTTTGAGGATTTTTTGATTTTTTTGTTTTTGTTTTTGTTTTTTTTCCTTACAGTAACACACAGCCAGCTTGCTTGGATTTACTGAAAAGGAGCTATATGGATGCAAATAATATAAACAGTCTGAAAAAATTCTACCCAGTATCTATCTTTTAACATCTCACAGTGACCAAAGTTTTGGGCAGAAAACCAAAACCTAAAAGACAAATACATTTAACAACAAACTGAAGAAAAAAGGCAGACAAACTAGAGAAGCCATATTCAAAGATTTAGGAACACTGCAGGGCTAAAAGTCAGAGTATTGATACATTTTAGAAGACAGGAACAATCAAGTCTGACAGCTGCAGCAGGTAAGTACTCCTGAGTCTTTTTATATTGGTTTAAAGTGTTAGGTGCTTAGGCTTTCCACTCAAGTATCTGCAAAAAATGCAGCAACCTCTAGCAGAACCAGTCCAAGCGGGAAAAAAAATCCAACCACCCCAACACTATTCTCAAGTTTTGGTCATGTCAGTGTTAGATTCTGTTTCTTAGCCTAAATGCTAGATAAAAAAAAATATGCATTTATGAAGGTAACCAATCACTCTACAGAAAACACCTTTATTTTGGACAACTCCACTACCAGAACAGCAGCATCTGGCAGAGAACTGTAGCTGCCAGCCTCATTAGTAATCTCTCATCAGTCACCAGGGTAAGAGAGCTGGCCTGTCACCACTTCTACCACTGAACAGTTGTCAGCTAGAACAGAAAGCAGGCTATCAAAGAAGTTCCCACATGAGGTCTTAGAGATGCTGGGGGTGAGACTGCTCTTGCAGAAAGTTCAAACTCAAGTGAGGTAATGTGGGGTGGTTTTCAGCTTTAACATTACCATGCTGAAAAGGGGGGGTTATTATAACCCTGCTAGACTACAGCCCACTAGAGCCTTGCCTGTGTCTGAGAAGGGGAACTGCAGTGATTTCTTGTGCCTAATGGATCCTCCCATGTTGCTTGGATATTGCTAATTTATTATGACCAGAAATTACGAAGTAAGTAAAGACGAAGTATTGCACAGCTGCATTTACCACTGTCCTGTGTTCTACCTCAAGATCTTTACTCAGCCCTACACTCATTTACAAAGACAAGGACCAAAGTAGAGGTGCTCACCATGTAATTTCTTATGATTTTTTCCAGAATTCCTTAAAAAAAACCTCACCTCATCACATATAAATTTACTGCGCAGATGCAGTAAAGCATCTCACATCTACCAGGCAGCATTGCCTCTCACTAGAGAAAAGTGTTAAGTGTGGGGGAAAAGAAGTTTTTCATCAGTTTCTCCAGACTTGCAGCATCTTTGCAGATGGGTGATGACTACCAAAGTAAAAACCATATTTTTCACCCAGTTATTATATAACAAGCAGTGCTACAGATTGTATGCAGTATGGTTCAGAATGCCCCTAAGAAGTCTTTAAACCTAAAAGACCAAAATATTTTCTTATCTGCTTACAGTATTTCTAACAGCAGAATGTACTGTTACAGGCAAACATTTCAACCATCAAAAAAGGCTCTGGTGACATGATCGAACAGTTATACAATGATTAATATGGCTTCTACCTAATTTGCATATGCATTAAGAAAAGAAATACCCTCGGAACCATCTCAGCTACAGTAGCAGTGTAACTACGCACTCTCATATAATTTCATACATGTGCCCAGGAACAACTATGCACTAAAAAGAAAAGGTCATACACTTGATTTCTGCAGCTCAACTTTCTGAACAGATAGCACTCACATATCCCCAATAAAAGCATGAAAAACCGTGAGTCTATCCCATTCTTATTGGATTTCAAATCATCAGCTGTAGCCTTCAGGAGAGGTAAGAGATCCAGCTCCTGAGTGGCTTTAACAGATCTGAGCAATTGCTGTACACATAGAGACGTCTATGCCGTCTTGGCTCCTCATGATTACCCCTTTTCACCAGCTGGCACAGACACTTATCCCCATGAAAGATTTGCCTCTGAGTTCAAGCAGAGTTTTTAGCACAGTTTCAAGGAAGGAAGAGGGCCCCACACTGCAGCTGGATCTGCTCAGGAGAAGCCCTGCCTTCCCCCAGCGGCAGGGCCGGCCCGCGGCCTCCGCACGCAGGGGCTTCAGGTGAGGTGACAGTCACACTCCGACAGACCCTTCCCACCGCACCATTGCCACAGGGCTCGGCAGCGCTGCGCTAGCGGCTATGCTCAAAACACACAGGTGCAGCAGAAGCGTGGAAGGCAGTGGCACCGAGCAAGGGACCTAAAGCTTTCAAAAACTTATTGAGGATTATGTCTAATCAGAAGAAATAATTCCTTTGCTATACTCTTCTACTAGTAAATTCTCGACAAAGAAATAAATCACACCAATTCTTCCCAACCAGTAAAACACTTCACATTCTAGCATCGACTCTTTCTGTCTCTAGAGTATTGCAGAAAGTTTTTTTAGAACAAAGTAGACCAAGAAGCAAGATATACAGATTTCTACTGAAAAATAAATCTAATTCTCCATAATATTTCTGTGATTTATTCAAACAGAATACAATGGAATTACCACCTTTACAGCTAACCCACCCCAAATTTGAGCCCTTTCCTGTATAGCACTGAATTGTCACTATACCATGGAAAGAGCACACACTACTGGAATGTACACAGTGAAGGAAAAAAAACAAACAAAAAAAAAAAAGTAAAGCTCTTTTTGCCAAAGTAACCATTTTCTCTACTAACGTGTTATCTAGAAAAATAAGGTCTAGGCAACATCCAAAAAGTGTTCAAGTTTCAATAAATAACTACCAATGCCCCAAGTTTGCACTGGCACAAGAAATATGGAGCATACAGGTTTAGAAAACTATTTTCCTATGACTGAGCCAGCAATGCGTTTCAATCTGCTTAAGATTTACAACAAAAATCATTTCCCTCCAGGGTTCGATTTGAAAATCAAAGCCATGTAAGTGCAAGAGCACCCACACAGCTGTCTTAACTCTCAATGGCAAATTAAAGCTCTAGAGAAAGACAGTATTTTAAAAAAGGTTCTTTATCAATACCAAGAAAATATACATAGCCATATTATGTTTTAAATATATATATACACGCACATCTTTTCAAAAGGTACGATTCTGGCTATTTTTTTTTTTTTTTTGAGTTTGAAAAGCTTATCCATTGCTATACAGTTCAGTAAGGTGTATTAGGAAACACACGTTTTATATCCCCCATGAAAATAAAGTTGAATCTTTCTGTAAACAGTAATTTTCTTATTTTCGGAAATCTCGACAGACCTCAAGTACTTCACTGAAAAATTAACAACCACCTGCCCCAGAACCACCCACGGAGACCCTCGCTGCTGAATGCGACATCGACAGAACTCGGGAAACGCTTAGCAACACCCGGCTCCCGCAAAAAAACACCTTCTCCGGGCGTAAATAAATAATAATAATAATTAATAATAAAAATAATAATAATAATAGCAGAAGGGCGGCGGCAGGCGCGCACCTTGCCCCGCGGTGCCCCCGGGCGGGCCGGGGCCGGTAGGGTGTCCCTCCTCAGCAGGCGCTGGTCTCCGGCGCGGCGGCGGCCGCCTCGGGGGGAGTCTCCCGCGGCTGGGCGGCGGCGTGAGGAGGAGGAGGAGGATGCCCGGCGGCGTTGATGTGGCAGCCAGAGGAGAGGTGGCTGCGGACGCGACCCTGCAGCTGGGTGACCTGGGCGCGGAGGAGGTTGGCGGTGGCGGCCAGCTCGGCGTTCTGCCCCTTGAGCGCTTTCACCTTCTCCTCCAGCCGGGCGATGCGCTCCAGCTTCCGCCGGCGGCACTTGGAGGCGGCGATGCGGTTTCGCAGCCGCTTGCGCTCTGCCTTCAGCCGCTCCTGGCTCTCCGCGTCCAGCGGCGACAGCGACGGCGGCGTCGGCGCGCTGCTGCCGCCCTCCCCGCCCGCCGACGGCGGCACTTCGGGCACCGTCTGCGGCTCCTCCAGGGACCGTGCCGGCGGCAGCCGCCCGCTCCCCAGACCCGCCGCCCCGAAGGCCAGGCCCGGCGGCGGCGGCGGGGCGGAGGCGGAGGGGTAGGCGCTGCCCGAGGGGCTCAGCGGCCCCGCGGGGTTGAAGCCGCTCAAGTTGGTGTAGACGGCCGGAGGGTCGGCGGCGGCAGCGGCGGGGGCTCCTGGTGGCCCCGGGCGGGCGGTGCAGCAGGGTCCCGGCGCGGAGAGCGGCGGCGGCGCCGCCAGGAGCTGGTTCTGCTTGTGCAGGTCGGCCAGGGCCTTGACGAAGCCGTCGGCGAAACCCTCCTGTTCCTGCGTCACCGGCTGCCGGTAGAGGAACGGCCCCGCCGCCGCCGCCCCGCCGCTCCCCGCCCCGGGCGCCGTCGGCCCCGGGCTGCCCGCGCCCAGCCCAGCGCCCCCCTGGATTAGCAGCTGCTCCAGGTCGGCGGCCGGCGGCAGCTTCAGCAGCGGCAG